AAACCCTAAACTCCTAAATCCCCAAACCAAACTCCATAAAACCCTAAACCCCTAAAATCCTAAGCCCCAAACCCCAAACCCCATTTTTTCACTTCTTGGCAAGGCACGGGCTAAGGCCCACGAATTGGGCGCGTGCCATCCATGCCTCGGCTTCCTCAACCTTCGCGGATCTTTTCCCATCAACCCACGGAGCCAGAAAAGAAATATCTACATATCTATGTGTATGTTTTAGGGTTTGGAGTTTAGGATTTAGGGTTTAGGGATATATACTTACTTTTCATTTAGAAGGTTTCGGGTTTATATATACATATATATATATACATCGATATATAGGTTTCCATAAGGTTATTCAGGGTCATGTAGGGATTATGCATTATGACTGCCTCGTAGCTCAAAACCTCTTAAGTCTCATGACCATTCCTTAAACCAGGTTGGGGATCCAATACGCCTGAATTGAGGACCATTCCTTGATGTATATTGGGGATCCAAGTATCACTCAAGGTAATTTCCTTACTTATTCCCCAAATGCTAAACCCCTAAACCCTAAATCCTCAAAAACTATGTCAGTTAAGGTATAATCCTTACTTAAGGGATACTTGGCTCTCTTGGAAGTTTGGTGGCAGGCCAAGAAAGCAGACAAATGATGCCTAATCCGATGCGACAGTACAAACCCTGTAATCGCGTCATATAGAGCTTTATCTCTATAGACAAGGTGTTTTAAGGTTCTACAGGGATTAGATAGCATTATGGAGAGCTACATATCTGTATCTATATACGTGGTGTTCTAGGGTTCTGGGCTATATAGAGCTTTTTATCTATATGCCAGAGGCTGTTTTGGGCTCTAGAAGGGTATATGTGGCTATATGGGGTCATATAGGGGTATATAGGCCTATGCATTATGACAACCCTAAACCCTGAACCCTATTCCAGCAGATGCATGCAGGCGCCTGGCCCACACGCGCATAGCCATGCAAAACAGTGTTGAAAGCCTGGGCATGGGTCTCAGGGAGTTCAGGGTTCAGGGTTTAGGTTCAGGATTTAGGGTCTAGGGTTCAGGGTTTAGGGTTCAGGGTTTAGGGTTTCAGCGGATGACAACCACCACCTCCCCCAACCAGCTGTTCTCGGGTTATATAAGGCTACGTAGGGCATACAGAGTCATATGATAAAGGCTGGTACGGAGGTATATAGGGGTATAGTCCCCCTTAAGTAGATAGAATATGGGGTATATGGGGATCTGATTATAGTATACCCAAAGCCATATTCTATCTACTTAAGGGGAACCCTAAACCCTAAACCCTAAATAGTGGTTTCCATTTTCTTTTCCATTATCCCAATATAACCCACTATATACATAGGGGTATACAACTCACTTGGCCAGACATGCGATATCATGTAACGCCTCGATGTCAGGACTTGCCAACGTCTGAAGCCACGCAGTTGCCTCCGGTTTTGCGGGCTACAGTATATGACGGTAGTATAGTGGGAACATGCTTTACATGCACCATAATGGGAATGTATATATCTATATATACTCATATCATGGTACTATGCTGGGAATATATCTATATGTTTTTATATGTATGTATTTCAAGGTTGCGTATATATGTAGGTATCAAGATATTGGGACTATGCTTGATTCTTAGCATCGCTTGGTACTCCCATTTCTGCCCTCCAAGCTCGCCAACCTCCTTCAGGCGCCCTTCCTGCGCGAACGCTTTGATCACGATGCTGTAGGCCTCCGATGCCCCGCGCCAAGGAACGTTAGGGCATATAGGGTTATAAAGGGTCATATATGGTTATATAGGGTTGTATAGGATTATCTACTTATATGGCTATTTAAGGTTATATAGGGTCATATAGAGCTATATAGAGTTGTAAGGAATTAAAAAGGATGGTCATATAGGGGTATGTAAGGTTACACTGCAGTTTGGACTTTAGATGCTAGCACTTGGAACGAAAGACTTAAGCCAGGGGGAGGGGGAAAGAAAGAGAGGGAGAGAGAGACAGCATGCGCGCTACAGAAGCAAGCAGTCGGCCCGACACGATGAACATGTGCAGAATTGTGCAGCGGCTTCTAACAACGCGCTGCATGCAAGCTCCGGCAAGTCGAGTTTTCACTAAGTTGCTTGCAGGATTCAGGCCGTCACGAAATTCGGGGAACCGCGGACATCCGCGGACTACCGGGGCACTTGCGAGAGTGCTGAAGTTGCCAAAGCCGGCTGTAACCGGCTTTAAAACACTTTGGGCTTGGCACTGAGATATCGTAACTTAAGATGGAAGTCAGACACAGGCGCTTCCGAAAGTTTCTAGGACCAGGGACCAGTGTTCTGGCTACAAATACCAGCGGAGACCCCCAAAAATTCCAGATTTGGTATCCGCCAAGCGCACACAGAATGAGTCAGAAATCCAGGGCAGTGATGATATCAACATTTTGGTACCAAGAAACCTGAACGGTTTAGATTTTAGAGGGACCTCAACATTTGCGAGCAAGATTGCCCCAAACCAACTAGCACTTCATGCAGCTAGCGTGCTCAAAACCGCTGCGAAGCTGGCAAACCATGTTCAACCGTGGCCGTTTGAAATGAGTGTGGCAGCGAAGACCATAATAAATTAGAAATGCCTTTTGACTCCCTATTGTATCTTATTGTGCTCTTGCAGGCATCGGCTCAGTAGAAGAGCACAAGCCAGTCAACGTAATCACTCCGCAATGACATGGCACCTGAAGCCTGCGTGACGCTGCGAGAGAGTATTGTTGCTAGTTCAGGCATGTTGCTCGCCGCATCTCGCCGCTATAAACTTTTGCATCTAGAAGGACACAGCAAAGATAAGACAAAGAAAGCAACAAGGAACAGAGTACAGAAATGCTTGAACGTTGGACCCTCAGATCCCTAAACCCTAAACCCTGCATCCTACACCGAGCTCTGTGCCTTGAGGTCGGGAGCCAATGCCATTGCCTCAGGACTGCAGGGACCTTCGCCTGACCCAGACCCCCTTATGGATCCGAAGAATGAGACCTAGTTTCCCCGATGTAGTATTTGAAGTTGTTGGAGCATTATTGTTTTCTCCTTTCTCCATTTGGTACTTGCATTTGGTTTTTGGAGTGCTCCATTTTTCGAATCCTGTAGGTGGTCTGGGGAACTGCCTTCAGCAACTGAGAGGCACATCCGCCGACCTCTTGGGAGGGTCTTTTGGACGGCTTCAATAGATGGAGAGGGTGAAAACCTTCTTCTTTTTTCCCTTGCAGCCCGAAAACGCGGGGGGCCACATCTGAGGCAGCCGTCTGAGCCGGCTTCCACGGCATTCGCCAATTTTTCAGGACCCGGGGCCCATTGGCGCCCGAAGCACAGCAACAACATCAGGCAGCAGCGTCCACGCAGCCTGGCTCCTTGAACTCATGCGCCTTGCGTGTGGGTCCCGGGTTGCGTACGCGCGCTCTCCTGCCTGACTGCTGGGGCCTGAGCCACAGGGTGCCCACCCTAAGCCAGGCTTGCAGTGTTGCTGCACCTTAGCAGCAACATCGTACACGCCAAACAGCAGGCGCCCAAGGTCCTGCTGAGTCATAGCAGCCTGGCTTGTTGCGCTGATTGGTTTCGTGCACAGCCACTGAAAACAGAAAGCTGCTGCGGAGTTCCGGCAACCTTGCTTGAACTCCTCGCGCCGCGCCGATTGGTCTCGTGCCCAGCCACGGGTTTAAGCTTTAAGCGCTTTAGGGTCTACGGGGCTTAGGGTTTGGGGTCAACGCCGTCGTTTCGTTCGCGACTTCTCCGCCTCTGGGTCGGCGGACTGAGCCGGCGGCTCTTAGAACACAAATGCAGAATTCGGCCTCTGCACGCTGCAGCAAGCTTGCAGCAGAATCGCACTGTCCATCGCGAGCCAGTGCCTCAAATTGACAAGTGCAGACATGAGTGACATGAGAACACGGAAAGTGTGGACTCAAGGAATCAGGAAAAGGCCTGATGGCACAGCTTGAGTCAACATACATGGTAGTTTCCATAAGCGGGATCCCAATACAGACCCTCAAATGCTGTGGTCTTGATTACTTAAACCCCAAAATGCCCATTGATGGAAACTAACATATGAGCCCTAGTCTAAACTCCCAGTATCCTTCTTAATAACACCTATAATAATCCCTGAGAGAGCCCCTTCAAGGAGTTCAGGCTAAAGCTCATATTGGCTCTGACTTACCCTAAAACCCTAAACCCTAAACCCTAAAAACCCTAAACCCTAAATCCCAAGTCACATCCAGGGAGGCTCCGAGAGAGGGTATGTCAGAGCCGACGGCCTGGCATGGAGTTAGATCGGGTTGTACGAGGGGAATAGGGTTTTGGGTTTTGGGTTTGGGTTTAGGGTCTAGGGTTTAGCGACAAGGAAACTGGGGGGCTTATGGAGATAGATTGTATGGGCTTAGGGTTTATGATGCCTATTTTTGTTTTTCTGTAATGTTGCTGTTGCTACTACTATTGCTGTTATTACTATCATTATTACGATTAATTACTATCATTACTAGCTTTACTATTATTACCATTATTGCCAATTTACTGCTATTAGTGCCATTATTACTAGTTTTGCTATCAATACCACTATCACTCTTAATGCTAGTGTCTTTTTTTGGTTCAGTGATCATCGCTTTGCAAAGCCTAGCTTTAACAAGCTGCACCTAGACGCTTCCGCTGCAGGACAGCAGGAAAGAATTTGAGACGGTCCATGCGCGATACATCTGGCTAATTCTGGCCTGCTCCTGTGCCTTCAGCAGCAGCATCGCCCAGTTAACTTCCTGGTGCAAGATTCAATAACTTCCCTGCATGGAATGGCCGCAAGTGAGCAGTGGATTGCATTGGCTTTTACAATAACTTTGATGTAACCCAGTCAAGTACGTACATCAAGTCAAATCGTGAAACATAATCACCTGCGTGTAAACCCTAAACCCTAAAACCCAAACCCTTTGGGGATCCCAGAAGAGGGCATCAAACAGGCTGACTGGAGCTGATCCAAGTTAGGTAAGTAAGCCTGAACCCTAAACCCTACACCCTGAACCCTAAACGCGGTTTAGGGTTTAGGTTTAGGGTTTAAGTAGGCAATACGAGTAACTATCGGCAACAAGAACCATATTTCCATTCACTGGGTTGGCCCCTAAAACCCTTTGAACAATATTAATATATAGGGACCCCTATTAAAGCCATTAGGGAAAATATTGAATATCCCAGGGGCCTGCCCCGCTCATAACAATTTAAGAGTACTGCAAGTGGAGGATATCATTTTGTCATAACTTAGGCTTTCCCAACTTAAACCACTCTATACTCCAAGTGTTCATGTCACTTTCCTTCTTTGTTGCCTTCTGGTTCTCCGTTGCTAAACCCTTAGCCCTCAACCAACTAACGTCTATTGAACCCAAACTCTGGAGTAGTTTCCTTGATTATCAACCCTTTACCCAATGTACCCAAATGTCTCTATACAACCACTATGTATCCCGATATGATACCTCTGAAACCCAAAAGAATCCCTTCATGGGCCCTATTGAATCCTGGTATCCCCTATACATCCCTATATGATCATTTCACGAGCTGCAGTCAATATCTTAACAGAAAACTAGTAGACATGTTTTCCTTATTCCAAAATATTTTAGGGACTATGCTAAACTACAAGCGGGAGCCCTATGTCCACCCTTAAGGGTCCCTTGGCAATGCGAAGGTAAAGAGTAGCTCACATAACCCCTATATAGCCCTACACCTTAAACCCTAAACCCTGAAACCTAAACCCTTAAAGCCTTAAACCCTAAACCCTAAAACCTTAAACCCTCAAACCCTCAACCCTTAAACCCTAAACCCTTAAACCCTAAGCCTTAAGGTGCTGTTGTATATAATCCCTATCTAACCCTGGGTTGGCCCCTAAAACCCTTTGAAAAATATTAATACATAGGGTCCCCTATTAAAGCCATTAGGGAAAATATCAAATATCCCAGGGGCCTACCCAGAACCTTAGATATTCCTACAGCCAAGTTGCACTGCTACGGGCCGCCGCGTTCAGAAGCTTACCGAAGCTCCGGGGTGATGGCCGCACCTGGGGCTCCTAGCCTATAGAATCCCTATATAGGGTTTAGGGTTTAGGGCTTTATAGGGGTTTAGGGTTTAGGGTTTAGGGTTTAAAAATCCCCTATATAATCCCCTAAATAGGGCTTTATAGTGGTTATATTGGGGTTGTATAGGGCTAATGGAAACTAACTACAAGGGAATATTAGTGAGGCTCCCAGTTCAGGGTTTTCTTTAGGGTCTAGGATATACAGGGTCTAGGGCAAGGGTTAGAGCTTCGGGATCCAGGGTCACTAGGAATACATAGGGTTCTGTTTGCATATGTCACGTAGGTTTTAACAAGGTCGAATTGGGTAACACAGGTTTAGAAAGGGTTACATAAGGTTATGTAGGTTACATCGGGATAAGGGGCGAAACATAGGGATATGTAGGCTCATATAAGGCTGTACCGAAAAATGTACACAAACATCGCATGTTTAAGTCCTATGCCTACATGCCAACGTCAGTGTAGACTTACTAGGTAAATCCGAGTTTTGCAGAACAGCTTGCTTCGGATGCAGCAGGGGCACATTGTCTTTGCGCATGTGCGCAAATGCGATGAGGGCTTTGCGAAGATTCCCTGCGTTGGCACATGCCTCGCATCGCAATAGCCAGATGTCTTAGCATTGTTTCATCACATGGTGTACTCAGTTGGTCGTGCGAAGCTCCAC